AAAATGTTATGAAAACTAGCTAAAGAAGATGCCATCCATATTTAATAAGCCATAGTTACTGGTATAACTTCTATTTTCCTTGCAGCCTCATTTCGCTGCATAAAACAAGTAGGTTCTCAGTTGGCTTAGAGTACAAGTGCTGAATCGTAGAAGACATTGCCTGGCCATGAGATTAAGCCCTAATACGTTCGGAACCGAGATAGGAAAAAACACTGTTTTCATTTGGCCCACAGCGCCTAAGTGATATCGGCAACCTGGGAATTAGTGTTTCTGAATCCTGCTTGCTAAGGCCACAGTATAAGTGCTATCAAACGCTAATGGAAGACCATGAGAAGTTACGACTTGAGCAACTTGAGCTACCTGAGCCACGATTTGAGCTACTTTTTAATATTAATAAGCATAATTCTTTCTCTAAGTTAGCCTTATAGCTTTATTATATACCTTGTCAATACGATGGCTGGACCTAAGGGGTGGACTTCTCTTTTCCGAGATTTTGCTTGGGGCCGAGATTAGCAAGACTCATTAATGATGACGGCGAAACATCTGATAATTTACCAAGTCTATCCTCCTGAGTTCTAGTAATATTTCTTTATCAAGATTTCCTCAATAACACGACCAAATTTGGAAACCGAGGTCACAACTCCTTCCTCTAATCTTTTATTTAGCCTCCTCCAAAGAATATTTTTCTCTAGCCAGCCTCATCTAAGCGAATATGATTCTACAGAGCTGACCATATTTTTATTTACTATATTTTATTAAATAGGCTCGAGACCTGACGAAAGGTGTAGCTATCGTAACAGCTTTGGACAACCTACCATACCTGGAGGCATTAGCTCGGCTAATATCAGTGATGGTAGCCATACTGGTGGAGCTGAGGGAATACTTATAGCTTGTCTACTACCAGCCTTTATTCGCCGGCTTGTGCGATGCCGCCGTGAACTTGTAGCTCAAGAGAACATCTCACTATTTGCCGATATCCGACAGCTATTGAACTACCTCCGTGAGACCCACGGCAGCACTTTCCGACGTTCATTGCTTTCCGCACTGCTGTGCATTATTTATCGACGAATGGCTGCTAAGCCATCGGCCACTTGCCATCAACAAGCACGTAATAGAACGTAAGTCAGTAAAAAGCTGGTAGGTTTAGTATATATATGTGTATGCATAAGTTTATGTAAGCATGAATATGTGCATTTTTAATTATTTAAGTCCAACCGCACTACTTCTTTTGATAGTGAATCATGCATGCTAATGGCCCATTAGGTCAGCAAGGATTCTACATTCCATCTAACTTCATTAGAATTACTGAAAAACTTAGTTGCTTTCTTGACTGGGTCGCTCAGCTTCAGGCACCGGTTCGGCCCTCTTGCACCGTGATTGAGCATGCACCACCAATTCTGCATGAATGTAAATTCTCCTTTTATTTGCAACTGGGAGTTGCTCTTCTAGTCGGCATGTCATGAAAAGCCTATTAGATTATATTGCTTTTCACTTTCACTTCGTTCGTATTCCACATTTAAAGCTCCCTTCAATTCAGCCTATTATAAAGTATTTATAAAGATAGGCTAAATTGAGAACAAGCTATCCTAAGGAGCTACTTTTCAATATTAATAGACATAGAGGTTGTTTGACCTTGTTTTCGCAACTTGGTCATATTGGTATCAAGATCTAGAGGAACGCACTTAGTCTGGAGTCCATTGTATGCATGATACTTTCCATAGTCGGACCGTGGTCGTGGTACATTCCCAGGCGTTTCACCAGAATCGTAGTCGGCATCGTCAATGAGTTTTGCCATTCTTATCACCACACTAAAACTGGTCAAAGAGACAAATGAAGTCGATCCTTTGACTAAACGTGTGCTAAACAT